CCTGGAGACCAGTACTCTCGAATCTGGAAGACCAACATCGAACAGCTCCGACAACGTCGCTACGGTCTAGGACATCATCTTCACCACAGTCGCCAAGGCACGGGTTGATGGTATGGACCGGACGTATACGAAATCCCTGAGATCGGGTAGGCGTGGCCGCATGTTTCAACTTAACCTGAAGGTGTCTATGCTTCTGGTGAGATATTTTCATCTTGACACAATTGTTGTCGTGTCTCTGTCCAACACAGAACAAGATGACAGTTGTCCCAGACTGGAATATTCCACGAGTAACCAGTTCCGTGCCATGTTCAAATGCCACGCCTACTCTGGCTCAGGGATAAGGAGTGTAACTGGTAGGGAAGGGTTCGTGGAGAGCGGTCTGTTTATGAAGAAAAAGAAGGCAACAAAAGCCTAGTAGACCACCAACTCTCAGAGCTCATAGAGCTCAGTTCCTTTCAAGTTTGTTTGAAAGAAAAGAAACAATATGCTCAACAATCTTAACACCTCTTGCGGCGAGACTCTCTAGATACAACAGCTTCCTGTTTCCCACGGCTGATTTGCCTAGTAGTTTAGTTGACGGCCTATACGTTCGAACCATTCGCCAAATAGATTACGTAGACTGACTTAAGATATTGAACTTTCTTTTGGTTGGTGTTGAATTCGTGACGTACGCCTGCTCTTGACTGTTGTATTTTTCTGGGAAGCCCTTCATTTCTCTGTTTGCAGGAGGCCGCAGTCGGAGAGACACTCTTCACTCCTCATGAAGGACAGCCTATAGTGGCTTTTCCAGGGTTCAAACCCATCAAACCAACCGTTTATGCGGGACTATTTCCGGTGGAAACATCTGAATATGAGGATCTCAAGCAGGTAAGTTGTTCCCCTCTTTCTCTTCATTTCCGTACTCTAATAGACGATGTGGTCCGCCATTGATTCCTTCTCTCTGGTATTGGCTGATATTACTTCTGTTAGGAATCGTAGTGATTTTTCCGAATGACGTTTGACCTATATAATAGCTTCTCTGGACTCACCGATGTTCGAGTTAGTGCTTTCATTATGTGAGTTTGCTGGTCTCGAGTTGAGGCGGTGAAAGAGATGTGGGAAACGGCTCAGTATTTGCACTAGTGCAGCTCAGTCACGTACTGGGATATATCAAGTCAACTAGCTAGGAAATGGAAAAAAATGGAAACTTGAGAAAAGATAAGGAAGTCGCCTGCAGTGGCGCGACTCGAAACTAGCGACAGACTCGTTTTATCCCCTTCTAGTGCTACGTCACCGACTCCGTAGAAAAGGAGGCTTGGTGTCCTGAGCGGTATTTGGTATCCTCCCTGGTTTGGCGGAGGGGATATTATGGCTAGTAGCACGCATACCACAGACGCGGTCTGGGGTCATTTCCCAGATCGACTCCCGCTCAGCATAAGGAAAATAACCTGTAGATTGGTTGGCCCACCGCAAGTATTGTGTAGACCATTTCGCCATAAACTGCT